CCTGGGAAGAAGGCAAGGCCAGTGTGGGGGGAGTGATTTTCGATCCACGCTCCGGTTGGGGTGAAGTTTTCGAAATTGAAGTGCCTGAGGCTCCTTGTCCATTCCTGGACAGCTTTGGTGGGGTGCAGATAATTTGTCAGATTGAATTGTTTGCATTCTTGGCTTCCAGATGGAAGTACCGAAGCATGTTTCGTAATAGGTTAGGGGTCGCTTGGATAGACAATGAGGCAGCAAGATACACAGCCATCAAGGGTTCCAGCGAGAGCCCAAGCGTGACGGCTTTGGCCTGACTTACTTGCTGCCAAGTCATTTTGAATCAGTCCTGCTCAAAGTCACAGATGACCCTTTTTGCGGCCTGTGCTTCCTTGACCTGGAGTGAGGCCACTCCAGATCACAAAGCGTTCAAGGCTTGCGGGGTGCTCTTATCCTATTCCAGCCACCAAAACCAGAAAAGAATTCACTACCCGAATGCGTCCTGAGATGAGACAGCCCCTGTTCGTCGCTGTGTGGGGAAAAAGAAGTGCGCCAATGTTTTCCTTTTCTCAGCTGGTGCATGAATCTGTCACACCCACTTCCACATGTATTTGGACCAACATGTGCTGACGTGTGCTTTTCTTTAGCGGTGTCGTTGACATGCTACTGCGTGGCGGGCGCGTGCTCTGTGCAGTCCTTTGGCCCTGACTCCTGGCCATGCGCAGGGCTAACAAGACGTTGGTCGTCGCGACGTGATGGCCTGTCTTGTATGCCCGGCGGAGATGTTCGAAGCGTAGTGCAGGGACAGATCCTTGGCCGCAATACGCCCTCCCAAATTCGAACGTTGCCCCCGCGCCTTGTAGCTGAACAGACCGCTGCACGTCGCAAAGTGACCGTCAAAGCACATATGAGCAATTGAACATTAAACCTCGTTCGCCAACCTAACGGAGCTCTAGACCGATCCTCGCTCTTCTCAAGTCTTGGGTTGGGAGCCAACGCAACGCTTTCGCAATGTCTTTCGAAGCATCGTTTAATATGGCGTTCTTGCCATTGGCGTGTAAGAGAGTGCATTACATCAGCAGTGCTGTGCTTGTGATTCATTTCTTATGTGTGATCACATTCAGCCATGCGTTTCTTGTGAAATCTCCGATGATTTTGTGTGAGCGACGTTCGCCCGCGAAATCAACTTTGCCAAAGCATTTTTTCTTTCAAGGACAAGGTCGCGTTAAAACCTCACATGAGTCCTGGCCAAGATTCTTGATCATCCTTCCAAGGAACAGTCACCATGGCTCGTCCAAAAATGATCACTGAATCCACTTCTTAAGTTAGACACCGCGGATTCCTCAAACATCCCACCCGTTATGTCCCACCCCTGTTTGAGCCATCCTACGATGCTCACGCTTGTCGCCACGAGCGCTCGGTTCACAGCCGATGCATGAGTTAACCTTCGTCGATTTGAGCCTGACCCTGAGCCCCAAAAGCAGAAAAGAACCCAGGCAAGCTTGTGCGCTGGACACCGCCCGTAAATGTGTCCTGAGATGAGACAGCCCCTGTTCGTCGCTGTGTGAGGAAAAAGAAGTGCGCCAATGTTTTCCTTTTCTCAGTTCATGTTACCTCAGCGCGTGTTACCTCAGCGCGATGGTGCTGGTGCATGAATCTGTCAAACCCGCTTCCACATGTATTTGGACCAACGTGTGGTGACGTGTGTTTCTCTTGGCGGTGTCGTTGACATGCTACTGCGTGGCGGGCGCGTGCTCTGCGCAGTCCTTCGGCCATGACTCCTGGCCATGCGCAGGGCTAAACAAGACGCTTGTTCCCTGGTTAGATTCTTGGCCTTGGCCGGATGCACTTATCTCCACTTGTCTCTGTGCTTGCCTCCCTGCCTGCTTGTCTCCCTGCTTGTCTCCCTTCTTGTTACACTTGTCTCCACTGGTCTCCCCACCGCATAAATTCATGGTGGGTTGAAAGTTTTTTAACTTAAGAAAGCATGATAAAGCCACATGTCAATAGATTATCGTACAAATGTTCTGTTTCCCTCTGAATTGTCGGTCCGCCAATTGAGCCAAGCGCTGAAACAAGCCAGAAGGTCCGAGTTGATTGTGGGTTACCTCACAAAGGCACACACACACACTGTTTGGGGCCTACGCTGGTACATTTCCTTATACAGAAGTTTCGTAGATGGCTTCAGCCTAGCTTGGTAGTTTGTGGAGCCGGTTTTTGATGCAAAGTAGCTGGCCACGCCTGGTCGCTTCGCCAGGAGGTATAGGCTCCACTTTTCTCTACTACCGCTGCAACATGCTCCTCGGATCGATGCATAAGTCATGAGGATTCAGGATTTGAAGGCAATTGACCCTGACGCGCAGTTCACATAAACCACTATCTAGAGTTTGTACATTATGTTGGTAATTACACTGACGGATGATGTCTGCCCTGTTTAACCAATCGAACATGGAATCAACCGAAACCAAACCACACCGCCAACAAGACAAGAACCAAACAAGGGTCCCAAAATCAAATAGTTTGCAACAAAACCCAGCCAGGCGATGTTTTTTCGCAAAAACTTGCGATGACGTCGCCTGCGCAGTCACACCATTCACAGGGTTTCGCACCGACATGCCGTTTGATCGTTTGATCCATGCTTTTCCACATTTCTAGAAGAAGATGTTTCACCAGACTGTTTCGCCGTCGCCGCTCGCAGTTCTCGTTATATATCCCTTACGGATCTGTAAGCGTCGGCTTTCTTCCTGCAAATCCTCGGCTGTTGCGACAAGCACAGCAATCCCTCTTGCTTCCACGTGGTCAGCAAATTCCTTCATGGCCTTCGCAAGAGAATCCATCAGCAAATCAACAAATCAATGGCCGTCTAGCGTTCCTTCCTGAGCAAGGTGCCCTCTAGAGTCTGGCAATGGTCACTGTCACTGCCTTAGCGTCGGTGACCATCACGTCTTCACCCTGCTACTGGCTCCTCCAATCACGTTAGACTTCAACCCTTCCAAAACGAAATGCATTGTACAGCAAACGATTGTAGAGCTGACGATCAGCTTCCTTGGTAAGGGCGCAAGATTCCGCGGCCATGTTTGACCTAACAACGCGTGAGATTTTGCTGGAATGGTTGCGGTTTTATTTCCAGCAAATTGGAAGGTCGAGCCTTCGACGTTGCCCTGTTTGTCTGGCAACAAATGAATTCGCCAGATTGGGCAGAACCATCGTGCTTTCGACCAAGTTGCAGCGTCAAAATAAGTGACAAACAAAGGCTAGCCTTCCAAGGGCCGGTAGACGATTTTCGCCGAATTTTGGCCTTGCCTTCTCGTGCAGCTGTCTTCATCTCAGAACACAAAGCATTCCGCTCCATGTCTTTGAAAGCAGAATTTCCTACACGTTGCGCGAGAGCACTGATACGATACATGTACTCCAGGAAGACATGCTGTGCTGGCCATCCCATCCTCATGATCAGTTGCCGAAAAAGGGTCAAATCATTTCCAGTCACCTTCCTTTCTTCACCTTGGTGAGACCCACAGTCTCAGTCTTCAACACATAGCCGGTCATGTCATTGGTGAGAATTCCTTTGTGAGTGTCGCAGAACACCTTCATGCCAAGGTAGTCAGTACCTTGAAGGCCTACGGTGTGGCATTGCTTGATGTTGATCATTTCATGGCTTGTTTCAACTGGTCAACTTATGATTCTGGGGATTTCCAATGAACAGTCCATCGCCCACTTGCAGTCCGAACCGTCTTTGGCAAGGACTTCCGAACCGTCTTTGGCAATGAATGTGCTATGACAATTCCCCATACCACATTTCTCAAGAAGTTCCAGGGCACCGCATCTGGAAGCTTCCGACAATCCGTATACACTACAAGGACCACCCATCATGGGGTGCTCAAATATCAGTGCTGACCAGGCATTTCCTAAAAATGCACCATGTCTTTATGTCTTTCTGCATGACCCAGTTGCCAACCGGCGTGTGCCCCCCACTCACCTTTGTTCCAATTGCATGTTGTTCAAAGAACTCCTCCTTGACTCCTTGACCCAAGTGAAGCCATGTCGGTACTCCAAAAAGAGCTATCCACTTGGATAGAAACTTCTTTGCGCACTGTGACAGCTGGATGGTATAATTCACAAACTCAAGATTGATGGCCACCGATTCACTGAAAGTGTATGGTATGGTTTCATATCAGACCTCTGTGCCACTTGTCTTGATGGAATAGGTCCTGACCTACATGTGTTGCAACGAAACTTTGCTGCTAGTCCAACAACTCCTTGTCTTCTGCCAGTTTCGCCAGGTGGGTGAGGACTTCGTTGGATGGGTGCCCAAGTCTTTATGAACTCAGTCCAACCTTGACACCCTCCTTTCACCGTCCTCCACCGCTTCGTCTTGGGATCCTGGGTCCTCCTCCTCCTCCTCCTCCTCCTCTTCTTCTTCTTCTTCTTCCATGGCCCCAAACTTCTCTCCGGCAAGAGCTCTCTCTGGGCATAGACTTCTTGCTTTTCTTCAAGCATTCCTCAGCTCCTTGAATGACTTGTTGAGGGAATTTGCGCGTGCAACCACCTGCAAAGAGAGTTCGCCAATGACCCATTGCCGCGACGTTGGTCCTCAACTCACTTCTCTCTTTCTTGCTGCAAAACTTGTGAGCTCGTGATGCATAGCTGTCTTCATGTTCGGAGCTCTCCAGTTCAGAGTTGTCTTCTTCATTCTCGTCAATGACCTCTTTGGTTCCGATCTCATTTGATAGATTCTTCGTCCTCTGAGGCATGAACCATCTCCCATTCATGGTCTTCCTGCTCATCTCTTTCAGGAGCCTGCTGTAACGGCATGTACTTCAAACCTCTTTCCAACCGCGACAGTGCCTTCAGACCCTCTGTCTCCTCTGCTGAACTGTCTTCGTCTCCTGCCTCCGAAACCAACAGCCTCTTCCTCAACAGCCTGGCCGGAAATGGATCGTTTCGTCGTTTCGTCATTTCACCTGACTTCCAAAAGTCCAATGAGACCAACAGCCATTGGCTGGCCTTGTCGAAGTTAGAGCCATTGGCTGGAACTGAATCTCCTGCATTGCAACATTCATGAGGACACCCCCAACGGGCACTCTCAGACAGACCCGGGCAGCTAGCAGCTCCTCTAGCCACGCATGACTTGACATTCGGATGCCTAGGGGGTACAGGATGCCCCGGGTGTGCCTAAACCCAACTGGAACATCTCCTTTTCCTCCTCGAGCCACTTTAATCCCAGCTCCTTCAACCTCTGAAGATCCTCATGCCTCATGCCTCATCCCAAAGCTGATGGGCAACCGCTGTACGACATCCACTGTCCATGATCGCCATTCCTCTGGTGCCTTGGTGAGCAAAACCCGGCATACGACCTTCTTCCGGTAGGTTGAGACCCGATCGGGATGGAAAATCGATCACTGACTTGAATCCGCTGACCTTGCAGGCTGCGTAGTGCCCATCTCCATTCGCCGACCCCCGAGAAGCCGATCGAAAGGGTGAGAACATCTTGCTTGGCTCAACTGGAGGTGCACATGACGATGGTTGACGGTCTCCGTCCATGCTGATCACATGCGGTCCTTCACCGCCAACCTTGGTCTTCGCAATCGACATCTGAACCTCGACAGCATGGGTGTCAGGAGCCATAAGTCTGCGGAAGCTTGCCCTTCGGAAGCTTGCCCTTCTCCAATGTCTTAGATGCATGTTCTTGCTCTTCCTTCATGCTGCAAGAACTTCCTCAAGAATGACTGGCCTTCACCTCTTTGCTCTTCTCTTGAGACCCACATCCTCATCCACCAGCTGCACGTGGTGTGGTGACCACAAAGAAGACGAAGACCACCGAGAAGGAGGACTTCGGGGCCAATGATGTTGTCTTGCCCGAAGTGTCGCTGGCCAGTGTGGTCATCACCGTGAAGAACGTGATGAACAGATCACAGAGAGGAAAAGGGGACCGTGCTGAGTCAGCATGCATAGGGCTTCTTCTGATGGGGTTTGTCCTTCCCTGCCATGACATTTGGACACTGTGGATCACTCGCCAATGCTCCTTTTGGCCGCAGGAGACGCAGCCACTGATGTGTGGCTCCTCCCGTTCTTCTTCCTTTGTGATCATGGCCAAGTCTTCCTCTCCCTCTGGAGCTCCTTCTATCAACAGCTCTTGACCTTCCAAGTCCTCAGCCTCCAAAATCTCTTCTTCTGCGTCGTCTGTGGCTTCCTGACCTTCATCCACATGGAGTGCTGAAAAGAATGCATCTTTTTATATCCTGTCTTCTTGTCATCAGTTCATCGCTCCTGGGCTCGGAGATCTTGGTGTAATGTTCATCTTCGGCTCGGAGTGGCACAGAGATGTCGTGCACGTTGGATGGCAGAAAAACGTCCAACCTTTCTCGACGTTAGGCTGCATCGTCTTAAAGAGCTTTATGTCTCCAAGGGTCCATGATCTGCGCCTCTGGGTCAACCCGTTGGTACTGGCCTTCAACCTCTTTATCTGCCCAATGTATGCTGACGCCGGATACAACTGCTGTTGCTCCTCCAGAGCCTTCTTCCATTTGGTATACTTATACGTCTCTCCTGAGAATTCTTCAATGCGAACGGAACCCAAACTGGACTTGGGCCGCTCCATCTGTTGCTCACGACGCCCATGGTCCGTGACAACATGTTACAACCACATGGAGGAAAATAGTGCCCGGTGCCCGGTGCCCGTGCTCTCAAAAGGGGGATGTACCGGTGCAGTGAGGCAAAACACAAGCTGGTGTCATTGGTCCCTCCATCATGAACTGTCCGTTCGCAGCATGCACCTCAACCGGCAACGTCTCAGAGACGACGCACTACCAAGAATCGCTGCCAAGCGTGTTTTCTGTCGCAAGCGGTATAGCCGCAAGCCTAGGTGGTGCCCCCACCGGTCCGAGAGGATGCGAAGTAGGCAGTATTGGTCTCTGACCACCTGTCCACGGGCTCACTGGTTGACCAGAGGTTACAAAGGCCCATGGATTGTTTGCAGTCGGATCTAGTTGATCCGCATCCGCAGGGTCTATCTGCGCAAGACCAGGTTTCGCCATGCCGTCCTGAAGCAAGCAGGGCAGCCTAAGACCAACCTGACCTCAACCAACCAAAAACAAGGCCCCGCAACTGCCTCGGATTTAACCCCTCAGGCTCCTACCAATGTTTAACCAATCGACAATGCAATCAACAGAAACCAAAACGCACCGCCAACAATAGCCAAGCAAGGGTCCCAAAGTCAAACAGAGCAAAGCAACGCACAGCGACAAAACCCAGCCAGGCGATGTTTTCTCGCAAAAGCTTGAGATGACGTCACCTGCACAGTCACACGATCCTCAGGGGTTTGCGTCGAAATGCCGTTTGATCCATGCTTTTCCATATGTCCAGCACCATGGACAATCGCTGGGAATTCTGATTAACTATGATTAACTCGAAGTCCTGAATTCTGTCAATTCCTGTTTCCCCAGCGGTCATGATACTGGTGAACAACAACAGCAGTTTTTGCTTGTCCCCGCTGACCACCCATGTTCTTGAACCCATCGTCAATTCTTGGCGCACGTGTTTTGCACATGCAATTTGTATCAATTTGTTGTCCGTTTGTCGGGTGTTTTTGCAGCTTTGTAGGAGTGAAGAACCCTTTGAAGCAACATTTTTCTTGTCAGACAGATAATGTTGTTTGGTGAGGTCCGAGTTGAAAAACACACCAGGGTGTTCAGGGTGCTTAGGTGCAAGAGACAGAATGAGGCTTTGCGAAACTTCGTTGTTTTCAATTCAGGGTTCAGGGGCAGAGTCGTGGGTGACGGACACAAGCGGACACAACCCATTGCATTCTGAGGCAGTGTGTTTTCCGCAATCCGGGCAGTTTGCCAGCTTGTGGCAAACAGAATTCCCAGGCTCAATGCACTGTGCACTGCCTTCCTGGATGAAAAGGAGTCCTGCGGCAGTTGAAGGCTAACGAAGTGGTTCCGCTCTCGAAGTGACCGACGGTTGGAGTTCTGACAACTTCATTCGTCAAGTGCGATGGAAGATGGCCTTTTTAGACATCAAAAAATAGACTTTTCATGACTTTTTACGCACTAGAAAAAACTAAGAAGTTCGCGTGGCGGTTGCATTTCAGGTATCAGATAGGAGAACCTAGCGGTCTACTTGATGTGATGGCCATGTTTTACGGTTGCCGTTCAGAAGCTTAGACTCAAAGGGTAGATTTCACATGATTTAACCACCCCGAGCTAATTCTTTGTGAGTGAGCGACTGTGATCGACTGTGCATATGATGCGTAGCGGCATGTTTGTGGCGCTGCTGGGTCGACGGGCGCTGGGTCGACGTTCCTGAAAAGATCAGTCGCGCGCGAGCTGCTGGAGGAGGGGTTGCATCGTAGCAACTGCCACAACCAACGGTGGCCAATTTAGTAAAGATCGGCCGTAGGATTTTGATATTTGACACTAACCTGGAAAAGTGTTAGATCCCCGCAAAAGCGATGCTGCGATAACAAAGCATTCCAGTTCAGCACCAGTACAGGTGCGGATGACACACACACACACAAACGGTTCAAAAGGCCGCAAAGGGGCGCCTTTCAGTTCTTTGCAGGGACGAGAAGGAAAGCCGGATGGATCAGGGATCCAGTCTTTTGGGAAGCTTGGTGCAGGGACGGTTGGTTGGCCTCATGAGAAAAGCGTCCAATTTCAATGGATTTGAAGCAGGCCAGGAACAGCGTGACGAACCTGCTCCATCCTAACACTTCAACATCACCCAGTATGAGCAGCTGGGAGGCAAACTGTCCCAAGATATGAGAGCTGCCGTGTTCCTCTTGTCCTCCTGGTGCTTGCAGTTGTCCTGCTGTTGTCCTCTGGCCGCGCTGGCCAACCCCTGTGCCCTCCTCTGGACAGGCCCAGATTTGGTTGCGCTGCATCGCCTTCACTTGCGCAGTTTTCGGCTTACACTGGACAACTCTCCAACAAGCCTTGCAGTAGATGTGGACGGCGCTTTTGCTGCAGCTGTTGGTGCAGCTGGCTTGGTGCCAGGCGAGGCGCGATCGTTCGCATTATGTTGTGTGAAGAGATTTGGAACCCGGACATGTCGATAATTGATACAATCAACCAGCACAGGTGCCGCAAGTCCAGGTCTGAGCACTTTGGGTTAGTACTTCCATCAAGAAGCTGTGGAGGGGTATTATTTTTTTTCCAATTGTTAACCGATTTTTCTGATTTTTCTGTGCTTGTCTCATTGCCTTTCCTTGCTTCTCACTGCTTCTCTGCTCTTCTTGCTTTTCCTGCTTTTCTGTGCTTGTGTTGCTTTTCCTTGCTTTTCTTTGATTCATTGTGAATCCTCTTTTGTCGGAATCCGAGCCAGAACACCTCAGGTTTGAAGAACCTTGATTGACCTCCTCCGGTGCTCTTGGCCCAATGCCTGTTTCAGGGAACTCTTCGGCCAGTGTTTCGACCTTACAGGTCCATGGAGCTACGTGGAAACACTAAGGTTTGCGGCTTTACCTCGACTGTTTCGGATCATCGTGTTTCGAGCTTGACTTGCGTTGTGCTTGCTTGGTTGCTACAGGTTGCACCAGGGTTCACTACCAACCTCCTAGCTAACAGAGCTTGAGGTTGCCCGCTCACCAACTGTGGTAGCGGAGCCTCTCCGGAGGCTGCGTTGCCAGCGTTGGTGGCCCTTGGCATTTGAACTTCGGCTTTAGGCATCGTCGACTGCTGAGCTTGCGTGTTGTTGAATTCGCATCCTTGCCTTTGCGCTCATTCCAAAGAGCATGATTTTCGTTCGCGCCCCAAGCGACGAGCGGATGGCACTCAGAGTTCATCGAGTACAAGACCAAACTACTTGGCCCAGGTTTTTGTAGTGGTTTCTGAAGATGAGTCCCCGAGACCTTTGAACCCTTCTACATCAGCAGCTGCCCTGGCCACCATTGCAGTGCAGTACCCTGGACATGCTGTCATTGACACCGGGGCGACGCACCCTGGCGTCACTTGAGGCCTTGGAGCAAGTGATGAACCTTCGCGCCCAACGCTTTGGACCTGAGGAATTCCTTTTGAAGGAGGAGCGGAAGAAATTTTGCTTCGGAAATCGAGAATCGCAACGAGCCACCTCTTTGGTAGATACCACCCAGTTTTTGAATGGCCAGAAGATCACGTTGGGACTTCATGCCATCGATGCGCCCGGATCACCCGGAGTTCCTGTTTTGTTGAGTGTGCGGACCCTGAGAAAGCTCGGGGCCATCGTTGACATGGACACGAGCACGATGTGTCTCAAGAATGCTTCGGAGTTGTGGATTCTTTTGAATAGAAGCTCGAACGAGCACCTTCTTCTAGATCTCACCTGCGACTGGTACTAACCAGATGCCGGACTCCCTGCCAAAGACTTGGCCTTGACTGCGTCAGCATACATGGAGCCGCTGCCGCCTCGTCAGTCGTTTGTTTTGGAGCCACCATGTCATGATCATGAGTCGGAAGAAGAGTTGTTGACAGAGGAGCAACATGCAGCACACCTGTCCCAGGACCAGGTCAACCATGTGAGTCAAGCGACAACTCTCATCATGCACCTCCAGAACTTGAAGGCTCAAGCACGTGTATGAGAGTTGGAGCTGCTGCCTTGCGCTCACTCTTGCCGCGACGGCACTTTGTCCATCTGCTACTACATCCGGCTGGAGTATGTTCCGACCTACGGTGCAAAGGGCATCTATCGCCAAGCTCTGCCGAAAGATGTGGAGACTGCGCAAGGCCGTGCTGAGTGATTGGTGCGGAGGAGTCAATGCGACGTCGGCTCCAGCAGCTGGAGAACAAGAAGAGTGCTGAGACGCCTGGCCCTCAGACCACTCAGTAGCTGACCGAAGGCTGTGAAGAGGGAGAACGATCTTGCTCTGGAGTCCCGGAACCCAGCAAAGGCTGGACAGAGAGAATGACCAGGACTTCCAGCCCATCGCAAACCAGTTGACTGGGCACCAACAACGGGCGCTGAAGGTTCAGGCCGACGAATACTTGAGCGAGGCCTGTGGAGCTGTGGAGCAGTTCCCTCACCGGGCTTTGACGCCTCTCTACTGCCTACTGGAGCTATATGCTGCCCACAGACTCCAGGTTGGCTCAAACCTTCTTGGATCATGGCAAACGAGCCCTATACGAGTTTTCCGACGACCCTTCTGAGAGCAGGAACGCCACAGGAGAGGAAGCCACTGATGCACTAGGCAACTGCTGTTGCCTCCACTCTGGCATGCCACCGTAGAGCTTGCAGGTGAAGATGGAATTGTGGAGCGTGCCATTGCCACCTTGAAGAGCGCGATCTTGCAGGGTGGCGACTACGCTGTGAAGCAACCAGTCATTTCAGCGTGCTGCACTCACAACGCCATGGAGCGTGTGGAAGGCTATTCCCATTTCCAATGTGCCTTCGGCAGACAGCCGACCCTCACTGGCAGGACGCACGAGAAAGGCTATGATGACCCATGGTGGACCTCTTCCGCCGTGCCTGGATCCAGCATGATGCAGAACCTTCGCCTGCAAGTGAAAGCCCAACAATCTTTTCTTCAGGCCCAATCTCACGAGTTGATTTCACGAGCTGCCAACGCCAAGACTCGGCGTGAACAGATTTTTGTGTCTGGAGATCTTGTGTTTTTCACGCGTGTGAAGCCACCGGCCCAGACTCAAGCACAGATTCGCACGCCCTTCAAGCTTTGGCGCTGGTATGGACCGGCGCGGGTTCTCGCCAGCGAAACTCGGATTGATGGCTATGGCTTCCAGCGGAAGCCGAGCAATCAACATTATTTAGAGAGGGCGTGAATGCGCCTACAGCCGTGTGGACCTTCCACACCTTGGCCAAGGACACCCTGAAGGGAGAGTATATGAGATCCTCGACGAGGATGTCATTGCCAAAGGACCTCCCAGGTCAACCCGACGTTCAAGCTCAGTGCCAATAACACCAGGCGCTCCAAACCCTGCTGCACCAGCGACTTCCAGGCAAAGCTCTTCTGTTCCTAGGACACCTGTTGTAAGGGCCCCAGAAGATGCCCAAAAGAAGATTCCAACAAAGAGTAGCCGTAGTGAGATGACTGGTGGTGAAGGAGGGACACACCATGAAGCCATGTCATCAGGAGCACTAGAAGAAGGGAGAGCTAAGGCCCTAAGGCGCCAAAGGTAGAAGCTGGGTAAGAGACCCTGAACGTAGTGGTTTTCAGTCCCCCCGTGTTTTAGCCGGTTGTTGCGCGATCCTGGCTACGAGCTGGATGCCATGGTGTCGCGAGCTGCGGGGCGCCCAACGCATGAGCGTTTTGAACAGCCTTTGTTCAAGAAGCAAAGGAAGTAGCTGGCAGCGAGTTCAGATGAGGAGCTGCTGGCGACTTCGTTTTTTGTCGCCGACCGCGAGTTGCGTGTTGGCAACATGGCTTGTTGCATTGAGCTGCCGGTGCCTCAGAATTCCTCCGAGCTGCGCCGTATGAAGTGGGATCCTGAGAACTACTTCGTGCGCAAAAGGGTGCTGAAGTGAAGTGGCATTAGCTGGACGACAAGCAGAAGGAGGATTTCAAGCAGGCCAAGCAGGCTGAAGCGAACCAATGGCTTCAGGCTGCAGCGGTGAAGGCCGCGGTGGGTCACGTTCCACGACATCGACTCATCCGTATGCGCTGGGTCTTGACCTACAAGGACACAGGCGCGGCCAAGGGCCGCATCGTGCTCGTTGGCTATGAGGACCCTGACCTGGAGGAGATCGTCGGACTCGCCAACTGTGCCTGCAACTTGCCAGCGTTGGAGGTTGGCGCACCCTCTTTGCAAGGCGGTGCTGTGGAGGAAAAGCAGGACCTGTTCGCAGCGCCAGTAGACTCCCACAAGGCAGTGCAGTGCAAGTGGTGAAGTCCTGCTACGGGCTTGTGAAAGTTTCAGAAGTTGCGTGACACCTTGAAGCACCTCGGCTTCGTTCAGTCCCGGACGGACCCCTGTTTGTGGTTGTTTTTTGAAGAAGGTGATGAAGAGGAAAAGACAACCTCAGGGTTTGTTTGCAGCCACATGGATGATTTCCTCGGGAGGGGCGTTTTTTTGTCGGGATTTTTCATTTTTTTGGTGCGTTTCTGCTTTTGCTGCGTTTCTGCTTCTGCTGCTTTTTTGCTTTTGTTGCTTTTCTGCTTTTGCTTTTCTGCTTCTGCTGCTTTTGTTGCTTTTCTGCTTGTGCTGCTTTTCTGCTTCTGCTGCTTTTCTGCTTTTTGTGTTTTTTGTCTTTCTGCTCTTTGCTTTTGTTGCTTTTCTGCTTTGGCAGCTCTTCTCCTTTCTCTTTTTCTTTTTGCTTTTCCATCTGTTTGCTTTCTAACCTTTGGATCTGGTGTGCTGCTGGGGGGGGCGCTGCGCCCCTCCCCAACCCCCCTGTATCTGTCCTAGGTCCCCTAGGCGTGTCTACGCTATACGTGTGTAGCACCTGTTCTTCGTAGATAGATTCTGTACATTACTCTTCAGTCAGCTTTCGCTGTAATTCATTTGGCTCAAGACTTTGAAGCCCAATACCTGCACTTCGCATCGCTGCCGCTTGCGCACCGTCGCATTCGTGTGATCTCACGTATTCGATCAGGTCCAGCAAAGCTACTGCCACTTCTGGGGGAACTTACCCCTCAAATTGGTAGCGGAGCTTGTGTCTCCTGCTTCACGGTCGATTGTGCATTCGTGCAGAAT